CTCCTCCTCCTCCTCCTCCTCCTCCTCCTCCTCCTCCTCCTCCTCCTCCTCTTTTTGTGGCTGTCATTAATAACACTAGCACTTAGATATATATACCACTTCACAGTGCTTTGCGGCCCTCTCTAAGAGGCTGTACAGAGTTAGCCTATGGCCATCAACAATCTGGCTCCTCATTTTACCCACCTCGGAAGGACGGAAGGCTGAGTCAACCTTGAGCCAGTCAGGACCGAACTGCTGGCAGTGGGCAGAGTTAGCCTGCAGAACAGCATTCTAAGCACTGCGTCACAACAACACCAGAAGAAGGAAGTGGGGAAGGAAGGAGAAGGAGAAGAAGAAGAAGGAGGAAGGGAAGAGAGGAATGGACGGAGGAGGAGGAAGGGGGGAAAGAGGATGAAGGCAAAAGAGAAAGGAAAATAAAAGGGAAGAGAGGAAGGAGACGGAGAGGGAAGATGGGAGAGGGAAGGAAGAAATAACAATAACAGACATATATACCGCTTCACAGTGCTTTACTAGCCTCTAAGTGGTTTATAGAGTTGGCATATTACCCACGACAATCTGGGTCCTCATTTTACCCACCTTGGAAGGACGGAAGGCTGAGTCTACTTTGAGCAGGTGAGATTCAAACTGCCAACTGCAGGCAGCCGGCAGTCAGAAGTAGCCTGCAGTACTGCATTCTAACCACTGCACCACCACCATTAAGTGCTAAATGCAACAGTTGTTCAATACCTCAGTCCTTAAGTGAGCCAATTATTTGGTATGGTTGTGGTTTTGTCAAAAACCACACATAAATGCCGGGTTTTGGTGAAACCTTCATAAAACACACGTCTGTACAGGACAGTGCAAATGGTCATACACGCTGGTTGCCAAGCACCCAAAAATCAAACATGCAACTGGGAAGTGTTGAAACTTTGAATATGGGTTGCATATAGGTAGGTCCTGAAGTCACTAAGCCACTATAAAATGAGGACTGCCTCCATAAAACTATAACAATAAAGGAGAATATTTGTAGCTCAGGGTTGAAATAAGGGGTCCTTGGTGCTCGCGCTCTCCCAGACAAACTCGGGGAATATTCTTATATAAATTAACATGGCAACAAACCAGGTAAGAACCTCTAAAAGGTTTCCTTGTCCAGTCGTATCTGATTCTAAGGGATGGTGCTCATCTCTTGTTAGCTGAGGGAGGAATGGTAGTATTCTACCAGTTCGGTCCAGTTTGGCTGAACTGGTAATAAAAGATGCTACTGGTTCGACCGAACCGACAATCAGCTGTGCCTTACGATTTTTAGATTAGCTAGAAAGCAGGAGATCATGGGATTTCTTGCTTTCTAGCTAATTAAATTGTGTGGCACAGCTGATTCTTCGCTTCCAAATTCTTTTTTTCAGCACCCAGGAGGGTTCCCTGAGACCCACTAGGCCAAAAACGGGGTGAGAGTGGGTGCTACAAAAAAAAGAAAGAAGGAATGGGAGAAAGAAAGGGAGGAAAGAAAGAAAAAGGGAAAAAAAGAAGAGGGAAGGAGGGAAAAGGAGGAAGGAAGGACCACAAACCTTGGCACTAGACGCAGCTTCAGAGGATGCTTTGAAACAGCACAGCAATCCAGGGCTGGAAGGTAGCTGGAGGTCATCTAGTCCAACCCCCTGCTCCAGAAAGTGAGTTTCTGTCTTTTGACACCCCCCCCAGTCACATCACCCCATAGCTACACCCATCACGTGACCATGTCGCCACGTCTCCCAGTCACATGGCCAAATAGCCGTGCCTCCCAGTCACATGGCCACATAGCCACGCCCACCAAGCCAAGCCCACAAACCCGGTAGTTAAAAAAAAACTTGAAATCCCACCACTGCGAGGAAGCCAACGTTGCCCCAAAAGCCATTTCCATGGTCATGTGGACAGCATGGCTATACGGAACACTGTGACCTTCCCACCGAAGTGGTACCTGTTTATCTACTCGCATTTGCATGCTTTCGAACTGCTAGGCGGGCAGGAACTGGAGCAAGTGACGGGAGCTGAAGAATGCGGTTCATCCAGGAACCTGATTGGTTGGAGATTTGTGTGGATTGTTGACCTCACCTGCAAGGCAGTTTCTGACAGTTGGGCTCGGACGTTGCTCTGGTCAGAGCTGGGTTGTTTGGCTGAGGCTATTTCTCTCGGAGCTGAGGATCTTTCGGTGAGTCGCCCAAATCATGGTTTCTCTGATCCCCCACAATAAACAAGCATCTCATTGGGAACCTTGGATAAGACGTTGACGCTATTCTGAAGAGTGTGTCAATTTAATTCCTTTTTAATTGGCTCAATCTGGGTGTGGATTGCTGGCAGAGAAATGTTTCGGTCTTTTCGTTCCCTTCTTCTGGTCTCTTTTGCATGGTGTGTAAATGTTGTTTATGTCTATGGGTCAGTGGATGGCTGGGCCCGTCTACCCTGCCCTGCCCATCCCAGGAGTCCCAACGTGACCTGTTTTGGATGCAGGGAAGTGCAGGTGCACATGGAGGCTTGGGAAGGGTGAAAAATGCCCCCCTTGGAAGTTTGGAAAGGCTGGAAATGGGCCTGTTTCTGGCTTCCAGAGAGCCTCCGGATCGGTCCATAGCAGAGGTGGGTATTCAGCAGGTTCGGACCAGTTCTGGAGAACCAGTAGCGGAAATTTTGAGTAGTTTGGAGAACCGGCAAATCCCACCCTCTGACTGGCCCCCACGAACCCTGTCTCTTCTCTGCCTCCCATGGAGCCCCAGCTGATCGGCTGGGTCTTCTTTGGTTGCCCTGCCCAGGAGAACGGAGCTGGAAAGCAGGTTAGTGGGGTGCGGAGGGAATCAGAGGTGGTCTTCAGCAGGTTTGGACCAGTTTTGGAGAACCGGTAGTGGAAATTTTGAGTAGTTCAGAGAACCGGCAAATGCCACCTCTGACTGGCTCCGTCCCCATCTCTTCTCTGCCTCCCATTGAGTCCCAGCTGATCGGCTGGGTCTCCTTTGGTTGCCCTGCCCAGGAGAATGGAGCTGGAAAGCAGGTTAGTGGGGTGGGGAAGGAATGGAGATTTTGCAGTATTCTTCCCCTGCCACGCCCACCAAACCACGCCTCCAGAACCGGTAGTAATTTTTTTTTAATTCCACCACTGCCAGGGAGGGCAAAAATACTCCCCCCGCCGTGGTGCAGGAGGCCGAGTAGGCTACTCCCACCATGGCTACGCTCACCCAGCATCCGGGCAGAGAACCCTTTGCCAAAATTTTTGAAGGCCACCCGTGGGCCCAGTGATGGTTTCTCTAAATCCTCCCCCGCCCCGCCATAAACAAGCTGTCAGGGCTCTAACAAATCCCCCTCATTCAAAGCAAAAGTCGCATCTCAGAAAAAAATTAATTGGTTTATTAAAAATTGCCATGTTGGTGCGTTGCTGGGTGCAGCCCGTACTAAATCCCATCATCTGTTACCCCCTTGACCCTGGTCTTTTGCCCCACCCCCTGGAGGTGACTTCTCCAATAGGATGCCTCCATCTCCAAGAGTGATCCATCATGCTCTCCAATAAACTCCTTACGCTCCAACAATCTTGGGCTGCTGAGTTGATTATCTAGGCATTTCAAGAATGCCTCGTTTTTCCCCCCCTCCACTCCATTTCTCCGGCAGCTAAAAAAAAGAGTATCTTTTTAGTTGACATAAGCATCCCACTGGAAGCCTCTCAGATGAATGTTATGACTCAGTTCGGAATAGCGGGTTGACTTAACTCCTTTTCCCTGACGTTTTTCCAAAGGTGAAGGTTCTCTGGAACAAAACAAAGGAGAAACCCGAAGGACATTCGAAAAGTGCTCGGAAGACACACACACACTTCCAAATCCATCCTTTTCAAAGCCATGGTGAAGGACTTGGAACAGGAGAAGAAAGAACTTCAAGAGATGCTCCGTGAACGGGACGCCACCGTGGCAACCCTGGAGGCCCGAAACCAGATCTTAGTGGAAGCCAACAAGACTCTCTGTTCCGAAATCAAAAAGGCCTCCAAACAACTTGTCCGGTTTCAAGAGTCCCGCGCGAGTCAAGACCGGGCTATTTCGCGCATCAAGCAAGTGACGGAGCAGATCCTGGGCTACATGAAAGAGCTGGAGGCGAAAATAGAAAAGGATAAGCAGCGATACGAGGACGAGAAGAAGGAGTCGGCGGAGCTGGAGCGCATGGTGCTCGATTTGGAGAAGATCTGCGAAGCGCAGGAGAACCAGATCCTGTCTCTGGAAGAGCGGTTTGAGCAATTGTCCTTCGGCAGGTTAGAGATGGACTCCTTGCTGTAAGAGGAGGAAGAAAGCCAAGGAGAAGGAGGAAGACCTGGGGGACCCAAGAAAGATCTTCTCCCTCCTATTAAGAAGAACAGGGCGGGGATGAGGCTTGGCCTGCAATTTTCACACCGGTTTGGCAAAGATTTGGGGCCTGGGAACCGATGTTGACCTCGACTCAAGTGGCTTTCCAAGGCCCTCTCCATCCACCCTGGCTGAAGGCCCTCTGAAGTCAAGAGTCCTGTGGAAAAAAAAGTAATTAAAAACAAAAACTACTAGATGTGGAATAACAGTTGCATTCGCTTTCTGTCTACAGGAAATTTAATATGTTTCTTTTGTTCCAATAAAGAATTCCTCACTTAAAATCTTTGGTGCAGTCTCAAAACTAATTTATCTACATCCGGGTTTTGAAACTTGACCGACTTGTAAGGCATGAGGGCTAGGGAATTCTGGGAGTTGAAGTCCACAAGTCTTGAGGTGGACAGGCTTGGGGAACCCTGATCTACAGTACATGAATTCTCCATTCTTACGCTAGAAGAGAAGAGAAGAGGAGAGGAGAGGAGAAGAGAAGAGAAAAAAGAGAAGAGAAGAGAAGATTGTATGGAATGGAATTGGAGAAGAGAGAGTGGAGTGGGAGAAGAGAGGAGAGGAGAGGAGAGGAGAAGAGAGGAGAGGAGAGGAGGGAAGGGGAGGGAAGGGGAGGAGAATAGAATAGAAAATAGAAAAGAATAAAACTGCAGATTAGAATAGAAAATAGAATAGAAAATGGAATAGAATAGAATAGAAAATGGAATGGAATGGAATGGAATGGAATAGAATAGAATAGAATAGAATAGAATAGAATAGAATAGAATAGAATAGAAGCTGGAAATCACCTTGGAGGTCTTCTAGTCCACCCCCCTGTTCAATAGATTCAATATATAGAATAGAATAGGATAGGATAGGATAGGATAGGATAGGATAGGATAGGATAGGATAGGGGAGGGGAGGGGAGGGGAGGGGAGAGGAGAGGAGAGAGCTGGAAGGGACCTTGGAGGTTTTCTAGTCCAGCCCCCTGCTCAATAGATTCAATAAATAGAAGAGAACAGAGAAGAGAACAGAGACTAGAATAGAATAGAATAGAAAATAGAATAAATAGAAAATAGAACAAAAAATAGAAAAGAATAAAATAGAATAGAACAGAACAGAACAGAAGAACAACAGAACAGAACAGAATAGAATAGGATTCTTTATTGGCCAAGTGTGATTGTACACACAAGGAATTTGTCTCCAGTGCATAAGCTGTCAGCATACATAAAATACATTCGTCCTTACGCTTTCATAAGCCATGATCACTTTGCTCAAACTGCATGATAGATGCTGCAATCTACACATTTAGTCAGTTTGCAAGAATCTTTTAAGGAAGGGTGGTCCATGGGATAACTGGTGTCGTAGAATCCGTGTTCCAAGTACTGTCTTACCAAGGCCTTAGTGCAGAGAAGAGCAACCAAGATGATTAGGGCACTGGAGGCTAAAACATATGAAGAACGGTTGCAGGAATTGGGCAGGTCTAGTTTAAGACTTATGGACTTCAACTCCCAGGATTCCTGAGCTAACATGACTAAAGGAGGAATTCTGGGAGTTGAAGTCCACAAGTCTTAAAGCTGTCAAGTTTGAAGACTCTTGGTACTCTCTAAATGTCAGTCCCTTTGGGAAAGGATGCCGTCCATAAACGGTCCTGATTGGCTGGAGATGGTGCGGATTGTGACATCCTCACCAGTCAGGTGGGTTTCTGACATCTCTGGTTGATGCTGGCCTATTTGGCAGAGGCTGTTTCTCTCGTGGGACCTGAGGCTTCTTTGGTGAGTAGCCAGAATGATGGTTTCTCTAATTCCCACAATAAACAAGCATCGCATCAGGAACCTAGGAGGAGGCACTGACGCTGAATTCTGAAGTGTGTGTCGATTTAATTTCCTTTAATTGACATGTTGGTGTTCATTTTTTTTTAAAAAAAATATTTTTATTGCATTTTTTTTCTCTTTACACATCTCAAACATCTTTAACAGTACTGAGGCATCTTTGTTACAAATACACATTTCTTGTCATGCCCCTGTTGGAATCTGATTCGGAGGGGGAGGCCAAGCGGCTGACAGAGGGTGGGCGTGTGGCTTCGTTGGCTGTGGAAGAAACTGGGGAAGGGCAAAGTCCAGCTGGGCAGAACAGGGGAGAGGTAGAAGAAGGGAGAGAGAGTTCAGAGGAAGACCCAGGCCCACCCCCTCTTCATCCTAGGGCACACAGGGAGGAACGGAGAAGGGAGCAACTTGAATTGTATGGCTTACGGGGGAGGAAAGGGCCCTGATTCCCTTCATTAGCCACAGCTGGGAAGACAGTTGATAAGAAAGGCAGACTGCGTGCAGCAGGCTGTTGGGAGCAAACGTGACTTTATCCTGTGTTGTTGTGGCTCATCTGTGTTCCTGGTGTGAGTTTTGCCGTGCCTTCAAGTCTGAAATTCTTGCTCCTGCCTGTCAAGCTAATTACTTCAGTTTGACTTGTTTGGACTTAAAGTTACAGTTTGTGTTGCTCATGTTTTGGACTTAATTTTCTGCAGTCAAAGGCTGTTCCTTGGAGAGTTTTTTCTCCAGCTGAAGGTAACTAGGACGCTGGGGGCAAAGTTGGAGATAATAAAGGGACTCATTACTTATCTGACTGTGTTGCCTTTGTGCCATGCCCTGGGTCATCACAAATATATAAATGTTGTTTATGTCTATGGGTCAGTTGATGGCCACTTTGGCAGAGTGCCAGGCTTCCAGAAAGTCTTTAGCGTTTTTGGCCTTGGCTTGGTCTCGGATGGTCACAGTGCCAACTCGTAAAACATTCCTATGCATGTTTTCTAGTTGCCATAAACAAAGAGGGCAGGAATCTGAAGGAACAGTACGGAAGTACATTCCACCCTTATCTTAAAAAGATTGTAGCTAGGCTACCGGATCTTCCGCCCATGAAAATCCTTAATTGGAGAATGTGATTGATGACACACGGCCTGGTTGAACCGTGCTTCATTGGAGAATCTGCTTTATGATACATCGGGGCGGGGGGAAACAGGGTCACAGGTGACTGTGAATTGCGTATGCCAGAGTTGGCTTCATTTGGGTTCATGCTGGCATAAATCTTTTGAATTCTTTTGAAGCTCATGATTCAATTAGGGCAATTGCCGGAACCCTGACACACAGTCTCTCAGGTGAAGCTATGGTTAAATCTGTCCCCACATGTTGTGAAAGGCAAGCGTTTTCTTACATATTCTAACTTTGCTTGTTCATTGGCAGAGAACGGTGCTGAAAACCGATCCCTTTCATCCCCACGACCATGATGAAAGCGGCAGCGTCCCTTCTGATGGACAGCCGAGAAAGCTTAAAGAAGGAGATCAGGGACCTAAGAGTCGAAGTGTCCAACCTTGAGGCCGGAAACCCAGAAGTTATCGAGATTACGATCAGGAAAGAGCAGAACAGGAGCCCCGAAGGCCAAATCCGTCGCATGGGAGTGGAAGAGCAAGAATTTCAGGAGACGTTCCGAGACCTGGAAGACACGAGAGCAACTCCGGAGGTCCAAAATCAGACCTTGGCTCAGACCAACCAGGTGCTCCATTCCAAAGTCCAGAAGGTCTCCAACAACCTGTTCATCTTTCAGGCGTCCAAGGTTACTCGGGACCGGGATATTTCACATATGAAGGAGGAGGTGGAGAAAATTGTGGCGGACGTTAAACGAGTGGAGGCGAAAATCGAAGCGGCCAAGCGGCGGTGCGAGGACAGGAAGAAGCGTTCTGCCAAGCTGGAATGCCTGATGGTGGAGCTCGAAGGGATCTGCAAAGCTCAAGACAAGGAGATCTTTTTCCTGGAGGACCGACTGGGACAACCGACGCCAAACGCTCTGTTTTCAGTCTTCTCCGGAGGGGCCTGGGTGTTCGTGGCTTTAATGGTCGGTCTGGGATTTTCAAACCTGCTGCCCTTTTTGATCAACTCTTGTTGCCTGAGAACGGAGCGCTGACATTTTATGGCTTCTTTGACCAGGTATCGGGCATCCCATCCCCGAACGACCGCCCAGAAGTTGTTGCCTTTTAAAGCAAGGATCCCGGGAGGGGGGGGAATGTAGAAAACTGGTAAATAAAGAAAAAATGGGTGTTTCTTTTCTATACTCAATCAAATACAATGTACTTCTTTTATCCCAATAAAGAATTACGAGGAGTCAGAGTTGGAATAGAGCTGGAAGGGACCTTGGAGATCTTCTAGTCCAGCCCCCTGCTCAACCAGGAGATCCTATACCAGTGGTGGGATTCATATTTTTTTTTACTACCGGTTCTGTGAGTGTGGCTTGATGGGAGGGGCAGGGAAAGGATACCGTAAAATATCCATTCCCTTCAGTAATTGAGTTCAAAATGTATTACTAATGGTTCGTGGCTTGGTGGGCGTGGCTTTGGTGGGCGTGGCAGGGGAAGGTTACTGCAAAAATCCCCATTTCCTCCCCACTCCACTAACCTTCTTTCCAGCTCCGTTCTCCTGCGGAGGGCAACCAGTCGTTGCAACTATCGGTTTGGCGAACCAGATGTAAAATTAACATCCGGTTCAGCCAAACCGGTGCGAACCGTTAGCAGCCCACCTTTGATCGTAAGTCACTTTTTTCAGCGCCGTTGTAACTTTGAAATGGATACAAAAATAAGTGGCTGTCCATCAAGGACCACCTCTTAACGGCTTTAGGTTTTAACTGAACCAGATTGGCTAGGACACCATTTCATATTTGAAACCAGAACAAGATTGGCAAAGATTCCGTTTCAGATTCATTAAGTTTGCCATCTAAAAGATTCGCTCTCTCCGGTCACAAGAGGGAGTCAAAGATTGTATATTGGATTTCCCAAGCAAGATGAATCTCCAAGGGCGGACGCAGAAGCAGTTGGATTTCATGAGAAGCATCTCAGACCGACGTGCACACAAACTCCTGGAAGCAACAGGAATAAAGATCGATTCAGCTAGTCCTCCACTTACAACAGTTCA